CTTACCCAAACTGAAAATCGCCTGATTGGCCACCAAGAAGCCTTTGTGATTGGAGATGGCACAGTTGAATTAAAGAAGTACCAATCCAAGCAAGAGGTAGAATTTGGTTTTGCATCAGGAGGTCTATGTTGATATTAAGTTTGATTGCTATTATTTGGAAAGAAGTTAGGATTTTAGAAAGGTAGCAATCATTTTAGCTTTTCTGAGGCAAGGCATACCTAGATACCCTCTGGGCCTCCTGAGCTATAAACTTTATATAAGAGTTACATATCCAACTTTAAGGAAGCCAAGTCATTTTCTCGACTGGTTTTTGGTGAGATGTTGAGTGCAGGAGATATAAAAGAGATTTGACAGGGGAAATACCTTGTGTAATGAATTAAAACTTGTATCCATTTAAGGCCAACCCACTCACTTGCAAATCAGGTGAAATAGGCAACACTTTGGGTTCTTTGTCTTTTTTTTTTTTTTAGCTCTTATTCCCTCATCTTGCTCTGTAATTTGTTTCTTTTCATTGAAAGAATAAACAATAATGACAGATAAAGATGCTTTATTTTGGTGTCAAAAGAAAGAACATTCTCTAGATAGCTCTTGGCCAAATTCCAGACTCTACACATTGTTAGCTTTATAATTTAATTTTTTTAGCCTCAGTTTCTTCATTGGGCATAATTTCATGGCTACGTTATTGTACGAGTTAAGTAAATATGGTGTGTTAGTGACTAGCACAGTTAATGTTACATAGTAGTGGTTCAACAAGTAGTATCTCTTTTATCTTAAATACTCAGAAAAATTTGGGGAAGCTTAAAATAAAGGTATGGAAAATAATATGAAAGCTCAAACAGTTCAATATAGAGAATGAAAATGCAAAGTAAAGGAGGAAGAGAAGAGGAAAAATTGCATAGACATCCCTAGACAGAGGAAAGCTGTAACTGCTGAGGAGACTTCTTAATCTTGAGCTTCCTAGCAGCCGAGGCAGAGAAGCAGACATTACATATTATAGAGCTCTGGTGTTTAGAAGAAATTATCTTAATATAGAAATTATTTTAGGAATGACTTAGCTCGTAACTTAGAGAACTATTTGTTTTTTTCTTGAGCAATATATAATAAAAAATAAATGTTTAGAAACAGAATGAATAATATGACTACGTGTTTAAAAGATTTTATAAATGTGCTCATATAATATAAAAAATTGTGGTATGTGCCAATTCGTATAGCCTGTATACTAAGTACTTCATTGTTTGCAATGTTTTATAAACCACATCTCTTTGTTAAACATGAAAATCTCATACTTTCTTTAATGCTGTTTGAGACTTCAATTTATATTAAATATTGTGATTTAAATAAACTACCTCAAATTAACATATTGAATATGCCTTTTCAGTCTATACATGCTACAATCTCCTTTTCTGCTCAGTGAATTACAACTCTGGAAAAATTAAATAGGTAGTAATTTAATAGATTTTTTTCTTTTGTATTACAAGGAATTACAGAAAGATATGCAAGGAAGTGCACAGGCATTGGCAGAAATAGTGAAGAACACAGAGAACTTCTTAAAAGAGAATGGTGAAAAGCTGTCACAAGAAGATAAATCTTTGATTGAACAGAAACTTAATGAAGCTAAGATAAAGTGTGAACAGCTTAATTTAAAGGCAGAGCAGTCGAAAAAGGAGCTGGATAAAGTTGTGACTACAGCAATCAAGGAAGAAACTGAAAAGGTCCTTATTCAGATGTGTGGTACACTGTTGCTTTGTTGAAAATGATTAATGTCACAGGATCTTGATTTATTAAGTGATATTAGATAGTGGTAAGCAATAATTAACACCAGGGACTGGAATTCTGGGTTTCCAGGTTTATAATTGACCGAATACTACAAAAAGTTTGAAGAATGGCTTTGCTTATCTTTTTAAAAAATTTTAAGTGAGATTGTGAAATTGTGAAATGTATGGGGACTCATTAATTATTGTTATGGTTGAAATTTTGGAAATGTACTTTTAGGAACAGTAGAAACTTCAAAATAACTTCCTATTCCTCTAAGGCTTAATTTCAGGGTATTCAGTTTTCAGTTTGTGTCAGTTTTTAGTGTCTCCACTCTAATTTTAAATGATCTAAATATTTACTTTTAGGATGTCTTAAACTAATGCCTCAGCCTATATTCAGAATACCCACTGTGAACTTTCTCCCCTAGGTTGCAGCTGCGAAGCAGCTGGAAGAGAGCAAAACCAAAATAGAAAACCTTTTGGACTGGTTGTCAGATGTTGACAAAGACTCAGGAAGGGTGGGGATAAAACAGAAACAGGTAATTGAACAGAACGGGACTCATTTTCAAGAAGGTGATGGCAAGTCAGCGATTGGAGAAGAGGATGAAGTCAACGGTAACCTGTTGGAAACTGATGTTGATGGGCAGGTTGGAACCACTGAGGAAAATTTGAACCAGCAATACCAGAAAGTTAAGGTTTGTTATCTTAAACATAATGCTATTGTAAAATTCTATTTTCAGATCTGTAAAGATACCTTAGCACATGAGTTATCTTTTCAAAACTTAATGACCATTGAGAGTAAAGTTCTTTTTATCTAGGTTCATCATTATGTGAAATATAAGTTATTGTGAGAATTCTAAGCAAGTCAAAGGCAATGAGAAATAAATCATTAGATATGGCATTCTTATAAATGAAGCAGGTTTATAAGGAATTAATAGACATAATAATAATAATAGATTTATAGAACAATTGCAGTGGGCCAGGTACTTATTCTTCTATGTTCTTCCCATTTTAATACATTTAATTCTCCCAGCTACTCTCCTGATGTTATTATTCTCATGTTACAGATGGGGAAACTATAACCTACAGATGTAAAATAACTTGCCCAAGGTGACGCATCTAGTAGGGGATGGAGTTTGAATTTAAAACTAGGCCCAGTCACTCTGCTAACTTCTAATCCATGTTCGTAGACCAGCTTGCTGTGACATTCTCTCTGAGCTTCAGCTCTTTCCAGTAACTGCTATGATTGAGAAGAGGAAAGAGCCTTTCTAAAATTTCACTGCATGATGGAAATCAGAGATAACATTAAGGCTACTATAGGAGCAAAGGCAACTCGAAAACCATTTTGGTGTTACACATAACCGATCATTTTATTTCAGTGCTTGGCTTCTGGTGGTGAAATGACTGGACTTTTGCAGTACTGTGTGTTTTCCTCCAAGTTGGAGTCTTTGGACTAGAATGCTCTCTGTGAGGGACTTATATCACAGGAAACAAATTAAACCAGAAGAAAGATGGGAATATTTACTGTATCACAATGTCAAGGCGCTGATACAGGACCTTATTGTAATTGTCGCTTGTAATGAAAAATTTAATGAATTTCTAAAGGAACTTTACGAGTCAGTTACAAAGAAGTCAGGAAAGGTTAGTAACTTGACCTGAGTAGTGAAAAATACCAGTAAGTGGACTCAAACATAAAGATGCCTCACAGGCATGTTTTTAGGCACAGCATGCCATTTGTCTCCTGATTTTTTTACACTCTGAAACTACTTGAGAAATTCCTAATTTCCTGAGAAGGTGAAGAGATGGCCCAGGGGCCTGATCGTGGTTGTGTGTCTAGCTCTCTCTAGTGGTGCCACATGTCCTGGGCCAGGCTGTTTTCCTACAGATTGAGTTTTCTCATCTGAAAAAGGAAGGGGATAGAGTAGATAATTTATAAGGTATTCTGTATATGTATCCAACCTACTATGTTCTAAAGACCTACTGGAGGAGAGTATATGAATATAATTCGTAGATCAAAGACACAGCCCACGATGTGGCCGGCATTGTTACAGAAAGTAAGGATACAAGTATTAATGGTTCTGTTCTCATTGAGATCAGACTTGTAACAGAACAGTTGCCCTATAACAATGCTTCTCAGTCCTTTTCATTTCATAGCATACAGTTATTATTATTTAGCCCCTATGTGCCAACACTGTTCTAGGTACTTGGGGTTCCCTAACATTCCTTGCCCTGGTGCTTGCATACTAGGTTTTGAGGATGATAGAACAGGCAATAAATAACTAAATTCTGTGGAATGTTAAGAGGTAACTTTTTGCTGAGAGAAAACTGTTGAGTTGGATAGGGGTGGTTGAATGTGGGGTTGGGACCAATTTTTAGTTAAATGGGATCATCAGAGTAGGCCACATTGAGAGGATGAGACCTGTGCAAAGACTTAAAGGAGATGGGGGTCACCAGACAGATATCTGGGGAAGAGCTGTTACCAGGCAAGAGAACAACTGGAGGAAAAGTTTCTAAAGTGCCTAATGAGGTGGGGGTGAAGGTAGGGTGGGAGAGGCCAGAATACTTGGAGTGGAGTGGGAGAGGACCAGGTTATATAGGAAGAGCTCTGAGGTAATGGGATTAAGTCATTTGGCTTCAAGTAAGTCAGTATAAGAAGTGGAAAATTGCCCATGAGGGTAATTATCTTTCTTTTTGGTCATATTTGCATAGCATATTGGAGTTAATGGAAAAAGCTTCTTATGGCCTGAGAGAAAGGGACTGTAGACTCCCAAGTCTTTACCCACCTCTCCCTCCCATCCCCAGAGCTTCCCTAAAAGCTGGAGTAACCCCTAGCTATGCACACCTGTGACCTGCTAGCAGCATACCTGCCAGAAACTCTACTTTCTGCCTTCGGGTTGGATTTTAATCTCTGGCACATGTCAGGCTCTTTGGGAAGTGTCAACATATGTGATTTCATGTACTCCTTTCAGCAAACCTGTGACACGTAGGGGTTATTGTCTCCATTTTTCACATGCAGGAAACGGGCTCAATGAATCTAGTGGCTGCAATGTTCTCTTTTATTGTATGTGTTCCTCTGACTTCAATGGGCTTCTCTGAATGTATATTGTTTCTTGCTTAATTATTGTCATAGTGTTTCTATAGCTTTAAAATTACAGATTCTTTTCTATTTAAACGTGTTTTCAGGGTATTCATAAAAAATATTGCACCCATTTGCTCAATAATTAGGTAAACAGCAGTCTCTTTAGGGTGGTTGTGAGGAAGCAGTGAGTAAAATGAGATCTGATTGTAGCTGCTTGTTTTAGAAATCGAAGAGAAATTTGTTACATTTCTTCTAAACTTATCAAAAACAGTACTTGTCCTATGAGATTATTTATTCTAAAGAAGATCGGAAGTCTCTTTAAGATTAGACTGCTCAAAATGTAGCTTTTGCTATTCCGAAATTCACCGATGAAGGGAGGAAATACTGTGCTTCTTGAAAAGGTTAACAAGAAGCCAATTGTCTGCTTATAGATCATTTAAGTCTCTAGGCCCTGAGGCAACAGAGGGCTCCGTACAGCTTCAATGTGACTCTGTCAGTGCTTTAAAGTTACTATCGATTTGTTTTCACGTAGGCCCAACATGAGAAGATCATCTCTCAGCACCAAGCTGTCCTCATGGCCACTCAGTCTGCACAAGCCTTGCTTGAGAAACAGGGTCACTATCTCTCTCCTGAGGAAAAAGAGAAACTGCAAAAGAACATGAAGGAACTGAAAGCGCATTATGAAACTGCACTGGCGGAGTCAGAAAAGAAAATGAAGTTAACGCATTCCCTGCAGGAAGAATTAGAAAAGTTCGATGCTGATTACAGTGAATTTGAACACTGGCTGCAGCAGTCGGAACAAGAACTTGAAAACCTGGAGGCAGGTGCAGATGATTTCAGTGGTTTAATGACCAAATTGAAGAGGCAGAAGAGTTTCTCAGAAGATGTTATTTCTCACAAAGGTGACTTGAGATACATTACAATTTCTGGAAACAGAGTGTTAGAAGCAGCCAAATCTTGCAGCAGAAGAGATGGCAGTGGCAAGGATAATATCGACACTTCTTCAACTCACAGAGAAGTCCAGAGCAAACTGGATCATGCTACCAATCGGTTCAGGTCTCTTTACTCTAAGGTAATTTTATTTTTATGTTTTAAGGGGAAGATCAATCTGTGATTATAGTTTTCATTCTATTCTCTTAACTTTTGTTTTGGAATTAGAAGCAAGAAACCTAAAATTTAAAGCAGAGAAAATAAGGTAGTTTCATCTTATTTCCTTCAGTCTTATTTATCTCTTTTACTTCTGAAAAATCTGTTTAAAGATTAAGACCCTCAAGTTATTAGTTTTTTCCTAAAGTTATTTTTTTTAGTTAGTTTTGAGTATATTCTAGGCAGCCATTAATTTTAAAACGCTCTAATACCCATTTGACCACCAGGTGGCGTTTATGTTTTGTCTCCAAGCAAACAGTGACTTGATAATTTTTGGAGCCTCTCAAGCTTGAGAACTAAAGTTTCCTTTTAGATTAATTCCCTTCACAAATACTACAAGTTTTGTTTTACAGATATATTTTATCAGTGCATTATTTTAATACTTAATGGCAACAGACTTTCAGCTTCCTCTTATTCCTGTGAACAAGTAAAAGAGTTAAAAAAAAAAAAAAAAAACATTTCCCTGTTCACTATACACTGAATAGACTGACCAAGCTGCACAAATGATTTGAAGAGAATCATTGATTCTTGGCCTTTGCTTCATTCTGATCTAGATTATTTACCCTCCTTGTGTCGATCAGTCTTGTGCAACATACAGAAATGATTTATTAAGCACCTTGAAAACCTTTCTATCAAATATGTATTTAGACACATGGTATATAAAACTTATTTGGAATGTGCCCTGATAGAGCAGGCTCCTCTGATGATTAATATCTAAATCCTTCATTTAGGGTTAAGACTCAGCTCTTATAAAGGTGTTTTCAAATTGGTATAAATTTAGGACTAGTCACCTCAATTTTATGGTCCTTTTTTTGATTTGTTAGAGGATGCTTCTTCATATAAAAGAGAAAATTCATTCACTTTGGGTGAAGTCTGGTGTTTTCTAAGTTATATAACTTATAGGTCCTAAGGTTCTTTAACACATATAAACAGTAGATTTTAATTCTCCACCCTTTTGCTGTTTTGATTTTTTTAGTGCAGTGTCCTTGGGAATAATCTTAAAGATCTGGTGGATAAGTACCAGCACTATGAAGATGCTTCGTGTGGACTTCTTTCTGAGCTACAGGCCTGCGAGGTCACAGCGAGCAAACACTTATCTGAACCCATTGCTGTGGACCCTAAAAATCTACAGAGGCAATTAGAAGAGACTAAGGTAAAAAGAGACAGAGACAGAGAGAAAAGAAAAGAGATCCAACCCTTCAGTAGTCTTACTGAAAACCTTTACTTTACCATACATTGTGATCATTTCACCAGGGAAGGGGACCAAAGGATGGGAAAAGGGTACTTCTTCCTCTAGGGGAAGTTTTGGTTCATTCTTCATAGTCTATGAATGAGGTTGTTTTTTCCACTGTTGTTTAACTGGCTTGACATTGCTGTTACGGCTTGTTACTTGCATCCCACTGCTCCCTCCTCTCCAAACAAAAACCAATATTATCTGGACCACTTGTTTATTTGTATACTTATTTATTTTGTTTCTTGTCTTTCTCTGCCATTAGAATTAAGCTCCATGAGGGCAGATGTTTTTATTTATTTTGTTCATTGCTGTATACCCAGCACCTAGAACAGTACCTGGCCCATAGTCAGTACTCAGTAAATATTCATTTAAGAATGGATGGGTGGAAGGGAAGAAGGGATGTCACTGTCACATTCGGGATCTGAGGGCCAGGACTGGTGTTCCTGTTGAGTATTCTCATGATTCACAGAGATACAAACTTCAGTTAATTACTTAGCACAGTTCTCAAAAAGTCTACCTGCTCTTTCAAAACTACAGGCTTGATGTGGGAATTGCATAATCGTGGAGGTCTTAGCCATTCCTACAGTGGCAAAGATAATCTGTATTTCTTAAATTTAAAGCATATTTTCACATCCTAATGTAAGGAGAGATAATTTTTGAAAGATCTTATTCTTATTCTGTGTGACCAATAATTTTGAATTTGAGAGTTTAATTGCATAAGTCTCTCCTGTGGTTCCTTTTAGTGGTGAGTAGCAGTAGCTTACTGCTGCTATAGCTAGAAAGTAAATACTGTATTGCAATTAAACAACTGCCTTTCAGAATTTAGTTGCATCGATTAATTATAGAATCAAAACTCATTATTGTGATGTTAACAAGGAAAACAGGTGTCCTACTGAGTGATCCTAACATTAGATATTGCCTGAGACTGGTGATTTCTGGCTGGAAGAAAGCTAGTCGTATGCTGGGGTGAAACGTGGCCAGTTAGGACCGAGGCAGAGAGAAGGGGGATGGAAGCATGCGATGGAAGTATAGGGTGAGAGGAGGGAGGAGGCAGATGGGGAGGTGGAGATGGAAGCACTTCTTCTTTCCTGGGCTGGAAAGTTTACCCACCCCTACATTAAGCGCCAGGGAGATGTCTTGGGCAGGTCAGCTTCCCTACATTGCTACAGCCTCCCAGAGGTTGCCTCTTCCTTTGGATGTGCATTCTTAGTACTGGATTGTTTTGTTTTGTTTTGTTTTTATCTCTCTTTCCCACAAGCACAAGAACATCTCTGTCTTAATTAAGTTTCCGGTTCTTCTTCGATTATTTGTCCAAGGACAGTAGATGTGGGAGGGTCAGAGAAGATGCTGCTACATAAAAGCTATTATTTTGATAGGAAATGCCAGTAGCTTAAGACAATTATTAAGATTGCCTATATTACATTTAATTATGTATCTAGGTATTTTTAGCATAAGAAAGTATATCAAATAGAAATAATATATTTTAAGTTAGAGCTATATTAGGAAACAAATTAAATCCAGTATGAAAACAATTTTTATGTAACTAGAGCAAAAAATAAAAAAAGAAATAGAAGAAAAGAAAACCCCAAAGGATGCTATGGCTTTTAAATTAAGTAGAAACATGAATTAATTGTAAAACAGAGGAAAACTTCCTTGATATGTGCTCCAGAAGAAGCCTTTTCTTGTCTTAAGACAGCAAAAGAAATGTAAAAAGGAGAGCAGCATCTCAAAGGAGGATGAATTCTAATTGAGCCACAGCATAATTTTAAAAATTAAATGTGCAATTGAAGTTGTTTCTGGCATATGTTCATATGTTCCTTACAGATGATCTTGACATGTAGAGAGAATAAATTTTTATAAGAATTAGACAGTCTCCATTTCTTTCATTTTTATTAACATTTAAAAATTCTTTTTCTTGAACAATAATATGAACACATGAGACTACTACACAAAAAATCAGCCTTTTCTACATGTACAATACCAACTTCTACTTAAATTTTGTTGTATAATAAATGTAATTTTGGGGGCACCCACTTGGTTCATTTGAAATATTTCTGTCTAATAGCATGTTGCTATTTACAATATGATTCAAAGAACTGTTAGCTGAGTTGTCAGCAATCTGATACCATGGGCTATAATGACACTCCTTAGGATCTGCTTCCAGGGGAATCAGTGGACAATACAAATTTTTTACCACATACGAGGAACAGAAAGACAGGATTCTAGGACCAGTCTAGAAGCCTGGGTTTGGGGACAGGCATGGAGTTGGGTCACATTGATTGACAATGTCAACCTCCCAATCTTCACTGACTTTGGGATGGCCATAAGTCAGGACACTTTTATGAGCTGGACAATTGCCCACAGCTTTATAAATCTCACCCTTTTCTAGTCCAGGCTGGAGACCAAGTTCATAATCTTGTGGTATTCTCTGTTTTAATTTCACTGAAATCCATCAAAAACAATATATGGTACCCATTTGAATACTTCAATTTGTAATTTGTTTTTTTTTTCTAAAGTGTACTCTAAACCACTAGTACAGCTAAATTATAACTTGATAATGTGTTAGGAATTAAAAACTATTGACTCTCTCTGGAAACGAAAGGCATGGAATATTGTGAAAAGAAAAGGTGAAGGAGGGATGCTTCTTTCATAATCCAGTTCTAAGTTTTGTAGGCAGGACCATCTTTGGTATTGGATGTTTTTTATAGGACCATGATAACTTTTACATATATTTATTTGGTAGACATTTATGTGCTAGGCCCTTTGTTAGGTTTTGTGAAGACACAAAAATGTTAAAACCCTACCTCTGCCCTGGGAGAACTCGCATTCTAAAAAAGTTCATTTTTGGAGGTGCCCTTAACCTTTTTTCATGTCCTTAATAACCGTGCAATGAGAATAAGCTGTCCCTGCAGCTTAGACGTCAGTCTGGTTATAGGTAAAGTTCCTTGAGGAATTTCTCATCTAATACTTTCTATAACTAAATCTCTAGAAGAATTTCCCAAACAGATCCACTCTGATGCAGATCCTTTGGCCTCTTGAACAGCTGTAAGATCTGGTATTCAGATCTTATGTTGGTCACAGTTTGGTGGGCTTTCTGCCATATACACAGCTGCCTGTGTATTATCACAATTTCTTGGAAAGGAAAATTAGTTGAGGAAATTTTTGCCATTGGCTTTATGCATTTGTTTTTTTTGTTGTTGTTTTGAAGGTTGAAATAGAAGAAGATCTTTTAAAATCTTATACCTTATCTCTTTGTTTATTTACTTATTCATTTGCTCATTTATTCCAGAAACTCAAAAAAAAATCTTTATTATGTCTTTAAAAACTTAAAAACAAATTTTAATTTCAGTTGACATACAATATTATATTAGTTTTAGGTGTACAACATAGTCATTAGACATTTATATAACTTACGAAGTGATCACCCCGATAAGTCTAATACCCACCTGACATCATACATAGTTATTACAGTATTATTGACTATATTCCCTATGCTGTGCTTTACATTCTCATGACTGTTTTTATATCTGGCAATTTATGTATCTTAATCCATTCTCCTTTTTCACCCATCCACCACCCCCTTCCATCTGGCAACTATCAGTTTATTCTCTGTATCTATGAATTTATTTCTGTTTTGGTTGTTTATTTATTTATCTATCTATCTATTTTTTTTTCATATTCCACATATAAGTGAAATCAAATGGTATTTATCTTTCTCTGACTTATTTCACTTAGCATAATACCGTCTAGGTCCATCCATGTTGTCACAAATGGCAAAATTTCATTCTTTATTATGGCTGAGTAATATTTCATTGTATATACATACCACATCTTCATCTGTTCATTGTTGAGGGACACTTAGGTTGCTTCCATATCTTGGCTATTGTAAATAATGCCTCGATGAACATTGAGGTGCATATCTTTTTATATTAGTGTTTTGGATTTCTTCGTATTCCAGAAACCTGCATCAAGGCCTACTATGTGCCAAGCACAGCTAGGTAGTGATAATAGAAACCTGAATAGGATTCCTAGTTCTCGAGGAGATTACAGTTCGAAAGAAGAGACAAATCAATCCAGTGATATTCATAGAGTATTTATGGACGCTCCTGGGGGGGAGCACTTACAACTAGGGATAAAGAGCGTTAGGGAAGGCCTCCCTTTCGAATTTTCAAGGGTGAATAAGAGCCAAACTCAGGATGGTGGGAGGTGGGTCACATGGAAGAGGTGGTATGTAGAGAGGCTAGGGCATTGGCTCTAGCATGAGCAAATAGCTAAGAAATAGCCGTGTTGTTGGACATTTCTGGAACAGGTAGTGGAAAAAGATGAGATTGAAGATATAATAAAGGAGTAGATTTCGTAGGACCTTTTATAGCATGCTCAAATCTTCGCTTTTATTATGAAAGCAATAGGAAGCTACTGAAAGATTTTAAAGAGGGGAGTGATATCTGTAGACAGATATGTATTTTCTATAAAACATACTGACAGGGGCTATAGCAGGGAAGACACTGGAGGCAAGAGCACAGTTAGGGTGCATTTTCCAATTTAGAGAGACATTATTCTGCCGTGATCCTGAAATATGTAGCAGAGGTCTAATTTCAAAAAAATATTAAGCAAGTAAAATCATTAGGATATGATTGTTGATTTGCACGTGGAAAGGAGGGTTGAGAGTTTAGGAGGAGTCTCAGGTTTACTACTTGGGTAGAGATGCAACCCCAGGATGAAGTATATG